TCGGTCTCGATTACCTTGAGTCCATAAAAGTGGTTTTCTCTTTGAAAGCATTCAGAAATAGTGTTATACGGCACATTTCCTGGGCTGCCCTCAATGATCTGTCGGAAGATGATCCAGAAATCACCCTCGTCCTCAACCCTGAAAGCGGTGGCATCCCCGTAGTGTTCCTTCCACAACACACGCAACATCGCGTGTGAGATGCGATAATTCCTATGGAAGCTACACAAGCCTTCATACATCGGCCATTGTTCTTGCATGATGGGGTACTCAACGACTTGCCTTGAAGTTTTTTCGGGGTGGGGGGGGGGGGTATTTTTGGTACCATATACGGGTGGGGGAGGATGCTGCATTTGTACCGCACGGCTGGCTATAAAACTTCAAGTCAACAAAATCGATATATATATCTATTTATTCCTCAAAATCAGTACAAAATTTGCTCCATGTCGAAAACATTTCAGTACTAATGTAAAGGTTCCGCTCAACTTTTTTGTAGGCTGTTGGAGGAGCTAAAATAGACTATAAAACTCCGGACTCAAAAATGTTTCAAGAAGATCTTGAATATCTCAGGTCAAATTTCAAATCAGGCTGTGATCGCATGATGAGTTCAACGGGGGACGTGACCACAAATCATCCATCGGAAATTTCTTCTCCTAGTACGTCAGTCAAGGTCACGTGCCTAGTAACGTGACTGATGATTCTGCGATCTCGTGACTATTAGGACATTTCAAGCCATAACGAGTCACCCAGACCCGGCAGTCAAACTTCCGAGTTCAGTGTTACTGAGAGTAGCCGGCACTGCCGTCGGCCCTCCGGCCGGCCGCCGGGCGCCGATGGTCACCGGGCCCAGTGACTCAGTGACCGGCGTCATCATCGCGGCCGCACTGAGCTTGGGATCATGTGTACCGGCCCAGCGTGGCGGTGGCCAGACACCTCCCGGCCGCCGCCGGAAGGCGGTTTACGGTTCCGTTCCGGGACTCGGAGACTCAGTTACTCGGAAGTTCTGAATCCGCCGGGCCGAGAAACACTCACAGGCAGCAAGTTTCAACATACAAGGGTCGAACCATCTGCCCTCTTGCTCTTCTATTTGTTCTACTGAGGCGAGCGGGGCATTAGCACTTCCCCATGCTACCGCTCTTGCTTGCGCTCATGGCGCAAACAGTCGGAAGCTTCGAGGCAGGAAGCGCGGCATGCTGGGTCAAGATGGGAAGAGCTTCCATGGGTCGAAGAGCGGGAACAGGTGTTGTACCTCCTGCTGGATCGTTACGGGCAGGAGGAGGAGGGAGAGGAAGGAGCGGGGCAACAACATTCAGCAGCTCCGCCTCTGAGGCAATCTTCAGCTTCGGAGTGATTTCAGACATTCAGGCAGGGCCGATGATCTTATCTTTAGCATCTCATCTATTATGCTGATCTTATCTTTAGCGTCTCATCTCTTATGCTGATCGTATCTTTAGCGTCTCATCTATTATGCTGATCGTATCTTTAGCGTCTCATCTCTTATGCTGATCTTATCTTTAGCGTCTCATCTATTATGCTGATCGTATCTTTAGCGTCTCATCTCTTATGCTGATCTTATCTTTAGCGTCTCATCTCTATGCTGATCGTATCTTTAGCGTCTCATCTCTATGCTGATCGTATCTTTAGCATCTCATCTCTTATGCTGATCTTATCCTTAGCATCTCATCTCTATGATGATCTCATCCTTAGCATCTCATCTC